TGTATATATAAATACGCTGATGTTGAAGGTAAAGTGAATTACAGTATGTTGAAAGTGGACTTTTCCGTTTGTGAAGAGCTTTGGGCAGAAGGAGACAAAACGAGAGAAATTGATACATCCAGCGACAGGAATTATATCTTGATTTGTTTGAGTGTAGTGTGATTACAGCAGCAATAAATTCATCAAGTGCCTTTAGCAAAATTGTGATTTTTATTCTTTGCGTCTTTATCAATATTGTTGTCATCAGTAATACTGGTCTCAGTTTATATTGACAATTTCATTTTAATTCTTCTTGGCAGCGGTGATAATAGTACCATTACCACTATTATTATATCCTGGTTATCGTTATCATCATTCTCACTGATATTATCATTATAATCAGTGTTCTATTGTCGTTAACATCGTTGTTGTTACTACTGCTGCTACTACTATTGCTAATGGTACTACTACTACTACTAATGTTACATTTACTATTAATATCATTCTGATCGACATTATTGATATCTTACTCTTCCTACAGCTATTGTATTTTCTTTATATATTGTCTTTATTATGATGATCATTATTACCATCAGCAATACTGGCATTATCATCATCATTATCATTATTATTATCATCATCAATATAATCATTTCAATCATTATTATAATCATTATTAATATCATCATTATTATTATATTATTATCATGATATTACCATTTTATGTCTATCATTGTTGCTATCATTTGTGTCGTTATGATCACCTTCCTCATCATTATCACTATCATCTAAGATAATCACTATCCTGATTATCTTGAGCTCCAATACTATTATCATCAGTTTTATGGTTTATCAACCTTTCGCATGGTAGGAATTCTACTTATCGTACACTGAGCCCTATGGTTTAGGTGTGCATATACGTGCATACACACACACACACACACACACACACATACACACACACACACACACACACACACACACACACACACACACACACACACACACACACATATATGTATATATATATATATATATATATATATATATATATATATATATATATATATATATATATATATATATATGTATATATATATATATATATATATATATATATATATATATATATATATATATATATATATTATTACGGCTGGTATGTCACCAAGAGAATTAAGGGGAAGAGCAGCTCCGCTGAACTCGAATTCTCTCAATGCGGAAGCCAAAATCATAGACGCGAAGTCAAATCTGAAGGATATGGCCTGGTATGAACGGCTTAATACCACGTAACAACAGCTCGTGCTAAAGTACTAGTGATTGTAAATATTCTTCTAGTTAATTCATTTGTATTAATTCATTTTTCATTCCATATAAGGCTCATTAATGCCGTCAAGTTATTATAATCATTCACTTCATTGTTCATTTATTTATCATCTCCCATTAATGTTATTTTCTTCAAAGTTCATTATCAATGATGTATTCTTTTCTTAACTGTATTATGTTATATTCCTTTCTTATTTATATACAAACTAATTCATTAAAGTCACTTATTGTCACTTATTATTCATCCTTCATTATACGTATTTATTATGTTCATTATCTTTCACTGTTAATCAAGAATTGTATACCAGTAATGATTATTATTTATTCATTGTAAAATGATTTGGAAAAATACATCAAATTAATTACGATTTATTTATTTATTCCGTCACCAACGTAAACAACAAAAATGAACAACAAAACAGACGAAACACACAAAATAGACAAAAACAAACAAGAATCCTGCCTACGATATATTACTATATGAAACATATCACCCTAATCCTAACAAAAGAGAAATACAAAAAAAATAAAAATAGAACAATGACAGAGGTCTTGCCCAGGCCTATGGCGGTGGAGGAGTGACCGAGGCAACCCTCCCAAGACATACGGGTAGGCCTCAAGACGGTGGGGGGGGGGTGGCTGCGAACGCTGCTGCAGGAACTGCCTCGTTACCGTAGCCGACAATTTAGCATTTTAACAATTATTAGTTTATTTTACTGTTATGTAATACTCCTCCCCGCAAGAAAAAGAACTTTTTACCGTACGGGAAAAAGTTCAAACTAGCTAATTGCTATATAGAATTACACAACAGCTCGTTCGGCTATACGGGTGAAGGTAGCGTACGCCTCTTTCCTGTCCTTCGCAGTGTACAGTCAGCGGCCAACGTGTGTGGACCGCACTACTTACGATCTTGAAATTGCGTCCGCTATGATATTGTGTGTGCCTCTAATATGCAATATCTTTATATTGAATGGCTGTAATGTTAAAGCCCACCTCAACACTCGCATGTTTTTAAACTTTACATTTTCTATAAAGTTAACGGGTTATGATCAGTGAAAATTTTTTGACTGGATGAACAGAGTTTGTTAAATAAACTCTAAACTTTTCGATTGCCAATACTATTCCCAAGGCCTCCTTTTCGACGGTGGCGTAAGACTTTTGATAAGACTTGTACTTATAAGAAAAATAACACACCGGGTGGAGCACTTCACTTTTGTTCTGCAAGAGGACCGCTCCCACACCACTATCACTGGCGTCAACATGAATTACAAATGGTTTGCCGATATCAGGAGCTCGCAAGACGGGAGCGGTACACAAGAGGTGCTTCAAGTTGTCAAAGGCTTGTTGACAGTCCTCTGACCACCTGAATGTCCGTTTAGTACTCAGCAAGTCTGTTAAAGGTGCGGATATCTGGGAAAAGTTCTTGCAGAAACGTCTATAATATCCAGCCATTCCCATGAAGCGCATCAGGCCTCTCCTGTCGACGGGCGTGGGATACTGGAGGACCGCTTCCACCTTCGCTGCTACAGGTGCGACCTGACCCTGACCGATCACGTGACCCAAGAAGGTGACATGAGCATGTCCGAATTCACTCTTCTGAAAATTTACCGTGAGGTTTGCGGCTGACAAGGCGGAGAAGAGTGCACGTAAACGTACCAGATGTTCCTGCCAAGACTCGCTCCAGATTACAAATCGTCTAGGTAACAACGAACGCCTTCTAAGTCCGCAGTCAGGTAGTTCATGAGACGCTGAAAGGTCGCCGGGGCGTTCCTCATACCGAAGGGAAGAACCTTGAACTCGTAGAGACCGACAGGCGTGACAAACGCAGAAATCGGCCTCGCCCTCTCTGTCAACGGAACTTGGTAATATCCCTGGAGGAGATCCAACTTCGACAGGTGGCGTGCCTTCCCCAGTCATCAATAATGTCGTCCATCCTCGGAGGGGGAACGAGTCCGCCACTGTTACCGCATTCACCTTCCTATAATCTACACACAGACGGTAAGTGCCGCCACTCTTGGGAACGAGGACTATAGGTGATGCCCAGGGACTCAGGCTGGGACTAATGAACCCCTGCTCCTTCAGGCGCTGAACCTCCGTCTGCAGGAAAGCCCTCTTCTCTGCATTGAGGCGATAGGGAGCTTGACGTACTGGCTGAGCTTCCTTAGTCTCCACATCATGTTCCAGCAGTGGGCAGAGACGAGGTACATCACTGAATAGTTCCTCATACTCCTGCAGAAGAGAACGAATGTTTGCTGCTTGGGCAGCAGAAAGGTGTTTAAGTTTATCATCAGGTTTAGCTAAAATTGTCGAATTTATAAGGTTAGGCTCCACAATCTTTACATTATCACAAGTTCATTACTGATGTTTGAAGGTACAACTATTGAAACATTTCGTACCTCATCCTTTATATCACCCCGTTCATGGTACTTTTTCAGGAGGTTTACATGTACATGACGGTTTTTCTTACGCCTCTTAGGTGTTTCAATCACATAATTTGTATCACTCGTTCGTTTTAGATACGAAATGGACCCGTATAGCGAGACTGAAGAGGCTGGTTAGGAAGAGGCAGCAAAGCCAGAACTAAATCACCCTCATTGAAGGTTCTAACTTCAGTATTATTTGCTTTATCAAAATGTTCTTTCATTTTAGATTGAGCTTTACCCAAATGATTATGAGCTATTGAGATAGCTGTTCGTAATCTATGCTTAAATTTATTCACATAAGCAGCTACTGGAATGTCCTCCTCTTCAATTAACCAGCACTCCTTTAAGACCTTCAGTGGTCCACGCACTTCATGGCCGTAAATTAATTGAAATGGAGAATAACCAAGGCTCTCTTGAACACTGTCCCTTACTGAAAATAACAGCAAATCTATTCCTTCATCCCACTCAGAACCAGTCTCTAAACAAAAGGCTTTAATCATAGTCTTTAAAGTATAGTGAAACCTTTCAACTACCCCTTGACTCTGAGGATGATATACGGTGGACCTGCACTGCTGTATACCCAAGGACTTCATAACCTGTTCATACAGTCTGGACGTAAAATTTGACCCTTGATCTGATTGTATTACAGTAGGCAGACCAACTTGTGTAAAAAAAATTATCAATGCCTTCACAACATTCTTAGTAGTGATGCGTCTAAGAGGAATAGCTTCAGGATATCGGGTGGCCACATCAATTATGGTTAACAGAAACTTGTTACCCCGTTTAGTCTTTGGAAGAGGACCTACACAGTCAATAACTATTTTGCTGAAAGGCTCTGTTAACACAGGGATAGGTTGCAAGGGATATGGTTTGATACCATCTCCGGGTTTGCCTTTTACTTGGCAGATATGGCATGACTGGCAATAGTAACCACATCACGTTTCATTTTCGGCCAATAAAAATGAGCTAAAATCTTATGGTAAGATTTGTTGACTCCCAAATGACCACTAATGTCATGTGCAATATTCAATACATCAGTTCGAAGGGGCTTTGGAATGACAATCTGATGTACTATCTTACTGGTATCGTCTGCAGATATATTATAGGGCTTATATTTACGCATAAGAACACCTGACTGGAGATAATAGCAGGTACTGAAATTGTCTATGTTACTTGTATCAGTAAGCCTATCATAAAATGTTTGCAACTCAGGATCTTTATATTGTTCTTCAATGAGCTTTTCTCTAGTAACTGGCATGTCTTTAAAATTTACTATATTAGAATTATCAGAAGCAGAAATGTTTGAATCTTTGTCAGATGATTTAAAGAAATCTGCCAAGGTGAAATCCTCGGTGAATATATCATTAAGGCTCTCTTTGGTAATGCAGTACCGGCGGTAAGCGCCTTGGTAGGAGGGGAGGACCTACGACTTGCACTGCGGGTGACAGCACATGCAGGAAAGAGATCGGGATACTCCCTCTCTAAATCTACGGTGTTGTTCTCCTCTGTCGGGCAAGGTGAAACTACAGGGCAAGGCCATACCTTATCACCAACTAGATCATTGCCCATAAGGAGCGAAATGCCATCACTTGGTATATTATCAACAACACCTAAATTTACGTACCCAGTTATCAATTTAGATTCAAGGTAGACTTTACATATGGGTATACTCTTGGACCCTACCAGTCCATTAATAATAATCATCTCTCCAGTATAGCAGTCAGGGTTAGGAACCATCTCCTTGAGTACCAATGATATATCTGCAGCCGAGTCCCGTAGAATAGTGACTGGGGAAGACGACTTACACGACTCATCGACACTAAGAAATCCTGTGGAACAAAATGGTCTAAATGAAGGTGTCACAACTTTAGATTCAGTAATGGAAAAAGGGAAAAGGCCACGTTTATCACAAGGATATTTCGATGTAACCTTTGTCGTCTTATTAGCACTGACATGAAAGATACGTTTGTTATTATCAGAACGCTTATTTGTCAATCTAAAACAGTCATTTATGGCATGACCATATTTCTTGCAATAACGGCAAAAAGAAAAATTCTCACCGCGAGAAGCAACCTTCTTACTCTCATCACCACCTGTTTCTGACTTTGTATGAACAGTCCTGTGGGTATCTGGCAGTCCAGTCCTCCTGGAACTATACTCCATCCTCTTACCATTATGCTGGATAGACTGGAATGAAGGCTCATTAGATCTGCAAGAGTAGTTGGGATTAGTGAGAGCGAAATGATCGGCGGCTTTGCCGACCTCGGCTAATGTGCGCAGACCACGTTCGTCAATGTGAGAGCGAACTTTTACAGGCATACTTTTCTTAACTTCCTCTAGTACAAAGAGCTCGAGTAATTTATCGTACTCGAGTGCATCAAGTTCACTCTCGACCCATTTCTTACACAAAAGTTGCTTTTGGCGAATAAATTCAACAAAGGTTTGTTTGCTATCTTTACGATAATAACGGAAATCTTGTCTGTAAGCCTCTGGTACCCTTTTTAAACATTTAAAACAGCTTGTTTTACTACATAATAACATTGTGACTGTACCAAATCCAGAGCTGAGAAAACCTCTTGAGCTCTGCCAACAAATGCACTGTGAACAAGCAATACCCACTTATCTTCGGGCCAACCATGCAAGGCAGCAACTCGCTCAAAATGAATGAAAAAGTACTCAGGCTCTGTCTCATTGAATTTAGGAACAAATTTAATTGCATCCTCTATACGAAAATGAGGATGGTGTTCCCTATCAGGTCTCTGCATGAGACGCATCCGCTCATTCTCTGCCTTAAACATTTCCAAATCTATCTTACGGCTCTCCAGGTCATACTGGCGGGCCATCGTGACATCCCGAGGACACAAGGGCTCTAAATCCTCCTCACTTAACACCTTGTGTTCTAATAAATACTCGGTCACTAATGTACGAATTTCATCCTTCCGTAAGGATGACCGAAAAGGGATGCAATAATGAGCGGCTAACTCACTCCACTGGGCTTTAGTTAAACCGACCAGCACTTCGGCTGACGGATTTGCAACAAAACTTTCAACGCTGAACATAATGAATCACCGAGAAGAATAGACAGGCGAAAATAAGCTAGCTAGCTAGATAGAAAAATACGAAATGCGTGAACAATCGCAAAACCTGTACATCAAATCACTAAAACGTACGATTAAAGGCAACCAAGAAACAGCAAAATGCCTAATATGGTCACCAAGCAAAAAACAAGTCAAATATATACAAAGACTATTGTTTACAAAACCAAAGATCACTTAAATGCACTCTGCATGCACAAGAAAGAAGCGACTCGGTGTCTTAATGACCAAAATACACGAGACGTAATGAAGTCAATTGCACGATCACAAAACAACAAAACCAACGGGAACATGTGTTACAACGGCTGAGAAAAAACACGATAAAAGTGCAATACCAAGGGAATCACATGTTACAAATGGCAAACAAAAGTGATTAACAAAATGCGAATTGACAGTTCAAATCCCGGTCAGGCCCCCACTTGTTACGGCTGGTATGTCACCAAGAGAATTAAGGGGAAGAGCAGCTCCGCTGAACTCGAATTCTCCCA